AATCCACTGGTTCCCACTCTCTGTTTTGGGCAGTGGCCCGAGCAAATCTATGGCCACTCTCTCTACAGGCACTCCCACTCTATATTGTTGCAAGGGTGCAATCCCTTTCTTCGCAGGGGACTTTCTTCTTGCACAGAGGTCACAACCCCTTATGAAGGAGCGAACATCTGCGGACATACCTGGCCAAAAATATCTTCTCTTTACTTTGGCAAGGGTTTTCTTTATGCCCAAATGACCACTAAGCAGTCCACCGTGCACCTCCCTCAGGGTTTCTTTCCTCAAACTCTGTGGCAACACTAGTAACCATATCACGACTTTACCGTCATCAGACTCCCACCTTTTATGCAACACCTTCTCTCTCACACTCAACTGGTCCCAGTAGGACCAATACGTCTTATGGGCCGCCGTCAAGTGGGAAATCTCTACCCACTCCGGACGATCTTTGCTCTCTTCCTTGGCCTCTAAGGCCCAACGTATCGTCTCATCTTCTAACTGGGCTTTCCTTACAGCCTCTAGTGGGACACTTGGTTTGGCCTCTATACCTCTAACCAATGTCTTGTCCTCTGGTGACGTCACTTCCTCTCGGCCACACTGTCTACAGGGTTGCCTAGACAACCCGTCCGCGTTGCCGTGTTTCTTTCCAGCTCTATGCTGTACTTCTATGTCATACTCTGAAATCACCTCAAGCCATCTCGCCATCTGTCCTTCCGGATTCTTAAAATTAAGGATCCATCTCAACGCACTATGGTCGGTTCTGACACTGACTTTCCTACCGTACAAGAACTGTTTGAAGTTCTTTAAGTACACCACTACTGCCAATAACTCCCTGCGTGTGACGCAGTAGTTTCGCTCTGGTCTGGTTAACTTACGGCTGGCATACGCCAACACTTTCTCTTCTCCCTCTTGTATTTGGGACAACACCGCTCCGATACCGTCGCCACTTGCGTCAGTATCGAGGATGAAGTCTCCCTCTGGAATGGGGTAGGACAAAATGGGGGCTCTTTGAAGTCTACTCTTGAGGTCATCAAACGCACTTTGGCATGATTCGCTCCACTCAAACTCCCTTGACTTCTCTGTCAAGGCATGCAAAGGACTGGCTATCTCTGCAAAACCTTGAATGAACTTTCTGTAATAGGATGCAAGGCCAAGAAAGCTCCTTACATCCTTCACGCTCTTGGGAACAGGCCACTTGGCTACCGCCTCAACTTTCTTTGGATCCGTGGCCACGCCTTCGGATGACACTATGTGCCCTAAATAGGCCACTGACTCTTCAAACAAATGGCATTTGCTTGGCTTTAACTTCAGTCCTGCATTTCTCAATCTATTGAACACAAGCCTGAGCCTATCTATCATCTCTGTGACTGTTCTACCATAGACAATAATGTCATCCAGGTAGATCAACAGGATTTCCCATTGGAGTCCTTCCATCACCTTCTCCATTAGTCTTTCAAATGTAGCCGGGGCATTACAGAGCCCAAATGGCATACATTTCCATCTGTACAAACCATTTCTAACAACAAATGATGACTTCTGGCTGGCGTCGTCATTCAAGGCGACCTGCCAATATCCAGAGGCCAAATCAAGTGTTGAAAACCACTTGGCACCTCCTAACGCATCGAGAGTCTCGTCAATGCGAGGTACCGGATACGCGTCTTTGATAGTTACCGCGTTTAACTTTCTGTAGTCGATACAGAAACGCTTGGTACCATCTTTCTTGTTTACCAACACTACATTTGCTGCCCACGGACTATCCGAGGGTTCTATCACACCTCTTTTCTCCAGGTCAATGACCTGTCTCTGTATCTCTCTCTGGACACAGTCGGGGTGTCGCCTCGGTCTCTCTTTTATTGGTCTCGCTTCCCCAGTATCAATGTGATGCCTCACGGCATCAGTTGCTCCAATATCCTGCTCACTGCTGGAGAAAACATCCTGAAACTCTATCAAGCACTCCTTAACTTGGCCATGATAGTTAATCTCTACATGGTTTCTACTCCTTGCATACAAGTCTTGCAAATATGGGGGCAAGCCCTCCTTTGCCTCTTCAGACTCATGTGCCTCACCTCTTATTGTCTCAGGGTCCACGGTGGAAATTAATCCCACAGTGGTCCCTTTTCGCGCCACTCTTTTCTCTTTTCCTGGGTTGAACAACCGCAACGGAACAATTTGGTTCGCTGACTCCACTAGTGACCTGGCCAAAACCAAGCCTTTCTGGGCTAAATCTCCGCCCCCCTCTAGCGGTTCCACTATGGCTGGGCCAGCCCACTCTTTTCCTCTGTGAGCAATAGTGCCAGGCACTACTGCCTCAGAACCAGATGGAATCACGGTTGCTTCAGCAATTACCACTCTCCCAACAAATGGCTCTCCAGCACTACTAGTGCATTTAATTCTCTCGCCATTTATTCTCCACTCTTTGGTGTGGAAATCCAAGTTACCCCCTGTGGGCAACAAGAAATCCATCCCCAGAATTCCGGGGTACTTCATCCCTGTAAAAATCGCTCTGACTGGGTGCGTTGTTCGTCCAACTTGAACTTCGACCCAGGCGACTCCTAACACCGACAGGGGACGTCCATCCACCTGTCTCACTTTCACATTGTCTGACTCTAAGACTGGTCTCTGTTCCTTGGGTATCTCATAATACACTGTGCTACTAATTAATGTATCTGTGGCACCAGTGTCAACCAAAAATTGGCACTTGGTTTTTCTCACTACACCCTCTACAAACAAACCAAAGCGGGCATCACTATTTGGGCTCGGTAACGTAATTACCTTTCCCTCCTCATACTTTCGCCGCTTCTCTCCTATGGCCCCCTTGCAATCTCTCCATCGTCTCTTTGCCCCTCTAGCACTTCCGAGGTGCCTACGGGCCCCTCGAGCAGCTGGCTCGACCTTTCCTGCCCCAGGCTCTCCCCCTGAGGGTCTGTCACAGTCTCTGGCAATGTGGCCGTGCTCTCCGCAATTGAAACACTTCCAGCCATCACGCTTTGGGCTACTCTTCTTTGGTTTCTCGCACTCTCGCGCAAAGTGACCTCGCTCCCCACAGTTGAAGCATTTCCTAACACTTTGCTCACTCTTTTGTGACTTCTGGTCAGCAGGTTTCCCCACTAGGTCACTCTTTTCCTGGATTTGTTTCGTTAACTCTGTCAACAGTCCAGCCAAACTTTTCATTCCATTTTCCAATTCGTGGATCCTCTGTTCCACCCCGGTATCTAACACTCTAGCCAACCTCGGAGGCTTTCCATCGAGCATTCTCTGTTGCTCGACTTTTTCGAAATTCTCTGTTTCTATTGCAGCTCGAATGGCCTCATCTAAATTTTCAGGACGAGCCCTGTTTATGCCCTCCCGAGTTGACCTACTTTCGACCGCATCTAGAAAATGGTTCTTAGCCAACCGGTCACGTGACTCTTCCTGTATGTCAGGGTACGCTTTAACCGTCAACTCTTGTATGGCTTGGCCTAACTCTTGCAATGACTCTTTTGGGCCTTGTCGGCGATGCCGCAACTCGACAAGGTAATTTTCACTCTGGCGGCCCGAGCCAAATCTCTGTTCTAACAACTTCAACAGCCCACTGTAGGACTGTGTCTTTTCAGTGGGAACGTCACCCAACAATCTTAGGGCATTGCCTTGCAAACTAGCCACCAAATATTTAGCCGCTTGTTCTTCGCTCCACCGATTCACCAACCGGCAAGACTCGAAGTGCCTGAAATACTCTTTCCATAGCACCTTGCCATTGTATCTATCAGGAGTGATATTTGGCCGTCTACTAATTGGCCGCTCGACACTCCTCTCTTTCTCTGCCACTACTTCGGGCTCACTTGTCGGCGTTAAGGGCCCTGCTGAGGTCTTTAAACTACCTGCCAAACTGTTGGCACCTGTACCCACTGAACTCGGGGCGAAACTCAGCAAATCTCTATTTACTTTCTCAGGAGAAACTGTTTCTCCCCTACTCGGGTTCTCTACAGTGCTATCTGTACTCAACAGAAAGGACTGGAGCTCCTCTATTGCACTGCTCCCCGTTAAGATCTCTGGTCGGGTTCTTCCTACACCACTACTCTTAAGGGGTGTACTTTCCCCAAACTTTACTCTTTTTCCCATCCTTGGTCCAAGTTCAACTTCAGGCGACCGTGCGGTCACCGAGGGACTCGCCCCTCCCTGGGAAAAATAACCAGAACTCTCTCTCGGCATATGGAACTCGATTTCCGAATCGATCCGCACTGGCCCCTGTTCTTGGCTCTTTTTGTCTATACTTCCCACCGGGGAAGGTTCCTCATAATTGGCTCTCATGGCTTCTAACTTCTTAGCCATCAACTCTTTCTCCCATTGCAAAAATTGAGCATCTTATCTCAGCTTCTGCAGTTCACTCTCAATACTCGAAGTATTCTCTTGACTCATGTTTGTCTCTTTCTATGATTATTCTTCAACCACAGAAATAACTGTACTCAAAATCCTGCTTGATTTCTAGAACAAGACGCAATTTGTTTCTATTGGCCAACTCTTTAATCAGCACCAACTATCCCACTTCTGACACCATTTGTGGCGGAATCTCCCGAGGTCAATTGAAACCAGAGGTCAGGGAAGGCAATCACCGACTGAGGTGGAAGTTCCCCTAACCCCAAACTATGTTTTCTGCCTCGAACCTAGGGAAGTTTTCGAGCAGCCTCTAGGCCCAGGGATGCAAGCTCGTTTTGGTGGAAATATACCGCCCAGTTGGATACTGATTACCAGGCCCTGTTACTCTAGTACAGAACAGAACAAACAGACGAAGAAACTGCAGAAATATTGGACACTGGGATACACAATTCTCTTTGTGGAAAGGAAATGATTGGTTTATTTAATCACGGACAATTCTGACTTGATTGGGAACTCTTTGATTTATTATCGTTGGATTGTTATGATTATATAAGTTTGAGCGCCTTACCCAGACAGCAAGTATACGTCGATCCGACGTCGGCAAAGGTCGGCGACGTCGCCCATGGGCGTACGACGTCGGTTCGACGTCCGAAATGGGTCAGAGATTTCCATATTTGCCTTACGTCGGAAAAAGGTTGGACACTTTGGTCATCATAACGTCTGTTTAACGTTGAAAGTTTGACGTCAGTAAGCCGTCAGATTTATAACGTTAATAAGACGTCAAATAAAGGTCATCACATCACGTCGGGAATAGGTCAGACATTTTGGTCATTATGACGTCTGTTTAACGTTGAAGATGTGACGTTGGTAAGCCGTCGGAAATTTAACGTTAATAAGACGTCAAATAAAGTCAATCACATTACATCAGCACGGCGTCGAAATCTTGAGTCGAACTAACGTCAGATTATGGTCACATATGATGGTTTGGAGATTTCCATATTTGCCTTACGTCGGAAAAAGGTTGGACACTTTGGTCATCATAACGTCTGTTTAACGTTGAAAGTTTGACGTCAGTAAGCCGTCAGATTTATAACGTTAATAAGACGTCAAATAAAGGTCATCTCATCACGTCGGGAACAGGTCAGACTTTTTAGTCATCATGACGTCTGTCTAACGTTGACAATGTTTCGTTGGTAGGCCGTCAGAATTGTAACGTTGGTAAGACGTAAAATAAAGTCAATCACATTACGTCAGCACGGCGTCGAAATCTTGAGTCGAACTAACGTCAGATTATGGTCACATATGATGGTTTGGAGTCGCAAATCTGCCGTGTGCTGGACGTTAACTTATGGTCACCAGTTCGACGTCAGATTGGCCTGGCAAATCAGGTCATTTGGACGTCACAGTTGGATGGTCATCGCTGTGACGTCAGTCTTGCGTTGCACATCTGACCTCAATAGGACGTCAAATTGTGGTCAGCACTCCCATGACACACGACGTCTTCGGAGCCAGGAAGAAAGACGTCTTTGAGATATTGGGCTTTTTGGCCACGGCCGCTGAAGTACACACAAAGATAACGACCGTTAAACGACGTCTTTAAGACGTTGTGTGCCAACGCTGGTAGTGTCCGGTAGTGCGCACGCGCCTGTGTGCATGCGCTCCACGTAACCTTATTGGTCGATGAAAACCGTGCGATGTGATGAGTGCGTGCGTGTCTGTCGGGCGCGTAGTACTAGTACTAGAGAGTATGCCCTGCATACAGTGTGAATTCGAAGCGAACCATCATTAAGCTGCTATATAGTTGCATCTGACAAGTTTGAATATCCGTTAAAAATGCTGTGGGAAAAGAATGTCATGTCTGTAGACATGGTTGCCCAAAATGAACAAGTTTTGTGCACCGTTTCAATGCTAATCGTCTACTGTTGTCAAGATTGTGTTCTGCGATGGACGTTCCCAGCTGATCTCAAGCTTCAAGATACTGTGACCCTCAAGATACATGGAACAAGCACACTGCCGTTTTCGATTAAACCGCTAGCACCGCAGCCGTCAAGATTGTACTTGTTTTATGAGCGGCCCTTGCAATGTAGGCCTACTGAAAAGGTAAGTTTCAAACGACTGTTCCTGAGTTACCATGCAAGGAGTTGCAATTTCTTTTGAGGACAGTGTTGGGTAGTCTTGAAAGGTCATCCTGATTTATGTCTAGATACAGTTTTCCTGAAAGTGCACAATTAAAATTCAAGGGGAAAATAGATGCTATTGTCAATTTTTATTTCACTGTCAAAGCTACACTATCAGTGTCCTTTATTGAAACATTAGAGAAGTAAGCTACTCAGTAGTCGTGCATGATTTGCCCGATTTTCATCATCGTTTCCAAGCTTATCATTTCATAGTGGAACATGAATTTAGAAACAACTGTAAGTTTTGACTTGAAAACTTGTAACTTTTGACTTCAAAAGTAACAGTGCGATCAGCTGGTTTACCAGCAAGAACACCGAATGGCTGAAGCATTCAATTGAGGACACATGTTAAAAACAATCCGTCAATTTTACGCACACCTCAACATGAGAAGAGAATGTACACTTTGATCATTGATAACTTAGAACTCTAAAATTAATTGTTAATGAAACGAGAAGCGCACCCAGGATGGGATGGGGGGCTCACGGTATTTTTTTTTTTTTGAAGTTACAATTTAAAGGAAAAAAATCCCCAAATTGTTTGAAGTTGATGGCACCACTTACTCCTCCATTATACTACTCGAAAATACACTGAAATAGGCCAAGTCGTGGGACTAGAATATATATAAAAGGAACCTCTTGGGGGGGGGGTCAAGCTTTCTAAAAGTAAAATTGATGTGCACTTGGATTTGGCTAACTTGAATTGTGTTTTTAACAGTTACAAGTCATCGTTATTTATAAAACAGATGTGCTCGTATACAAAAAAGTTCATCATTACTTTAATTTTCTTTTCCAGATCTCTGCTTTGTTCAAGTGATGGAGAAGAGACATACTACCTAAGCCCTTCTACTACTACTACCCGTGGCAACCTTCACCATCAAAGACAGCATCACGACGGCCTGATGTCGTTTACCTGCACAAATCTTCAAAAAGTGGATTAGAGCTCATGTCTGTGCTGGCTTCTCTTTAAGTCTTTTTTCTTCTTCAAAGTTATTGAACTTAAAAGGCATCGTACGTAATGGTCAACGTTGACATGCTTGTTATAAGCATTATTTGTTTCTTCTTTCAGCCCTGCATGTTTGTGTGCACCCCCATGTTAATGTATGTATCTCTGTCATTTCTGTTTTAGCCTCTGAAGAAGAACTTGCTAAGTTCGCAACGTCAGGCCACATTAATTTTAAGATTTATATATTTCAGGTCCATCCAGTCAGTAAGCAGTTTGCAGCAGTTTTACTTTTTTTCAAGCATTATTTTATTTAGAAATTTAATTTCCGGTTATGTTGGACTGATGAAAGAAATATGTTTTGGAATTTTTGTCCAATATTAACGCCATCGTACAAACAACGTTGAAATGACGTAAGAAATAAGGTCGGACAATGAGTGAAATGACGTTTGCCCAACGTTCAGATTAACGTACAAACAACGTTGGGCCAACGTGAATCAGCAGTGCAAGTTTACGTTGGACAAACGTTGGTGTTTGACGTTAGTATGACGTGGAAATTTGGGTTAGTAATTGAGCGAAAAGACGTCTACCAAACGTTTAACGCTAACGTACAAACAACGTTGTTTTGACGTAAAAATACGGTCGGAAAAATGAGTGAAATAGACGTTTGTCCAACGTTCGGGCCGACGTAAAAACAATGTTAGGCCAACGTTGATATGACGTGAAAAGAAGGTTGGGAAATAAGCGCAACGACGTTGATCCAATGTTAATGCCAACTTACAAACAACGTTGGTATGACGTAACATATAAGGTCGGAAAATGGATGAAGTAACGTCTGTCCAACGTTCCAGGCAACGTACAAACAACGTTAGGCCAACGTGAATCAGCAGTGCAAGTTTACGTTGGACTGACGTTGGTGTCTGACGTTGACCCAACGTGTCCTTCGTGAATTCGTGACGTTGAGTTAACGTCGGATTGACGTATGCTTGTTGTCTGGGTAGCTGATCAGTATACGACAAAACCCGTGTGACAATAAACTTGACCGAGTGCAGTTATTGACTACCTGTGACTATTCCTCCCAGGCCTCTATGTCAACCTCTGGGTCGACCCTCTATGTTATCGCACGTCTCTGTGAACCCACGACAACAATCCTTATGCCTGTACTTAGTCACCCTACTCTGTAAGTCAAACACTCAACTGCAACAATTGCGCAAACATGCACTAAATTACACAAAGCAATTCGGTCCTACCAAGCTAACTGGGTCACACCACGGGGCTCTGCGCTCCGTACAATCGCTCAACCACGGTACGAGAAGTCAGGCCGAAACAGCGTCAACACCGGTACACTGCACCACACACGGCCTCGCCAAAGCAAACACTAGCTTCGTCACGGACAATGGCAATTTCACTCGTACACTACTACTGAGCCCGCTCCATACACAGAACTGAGGAACAACTTACGCAACTCACGCAACTGAACTGAACAACTGAACTGAACACAACTGACTCACGCCCGGCCGACCATGCGCTCAAGTACCACGGCAAGGGTAGCGGGGCCACGCCCAATCACGCCGTGATTGGCCGCCAACCCTTCACATCTGCCCGGTAACACCAATCACGCATACGCGGGTACAGGAAACACAGATCGCAAGTGCGGTCACGGCCTGCCTCGCCCCGCCCAGCAACAGCGAGCGCGCTCCGATTGGCAGCCACTCCCGCCAAAACCACGAGACATTGTCCGCTGACACGACCTGACTTCCTTGCCAAGAAATTACAAGTAAACACTACCAAATAAGGGGAATTAGACTGGTGTCGGCCCACCCCATCACGCCACAATATTCAGCTATTCCAAACCAAACCGTATCACCATGTTAGAAAACACAAAGATTAAAGGGACATATGCATATTGTTAAACAAATTGAATGGTACACAATATTCTAGGTCTCAACAAAGTTTCATCCTGAAGGACATTCATTGCCAAAATGCTGAAAAAAACATGAATGAGCCACTCAGAAACATTGCCAATTTTGTTCATGATAGAAAATACTCTGAAAATCTTCATGACTCTCCATAGACCTTGTCCAAACCGTCAAATTAGCGTCTGATAGGCCTAAACATTTTTTTTTTATAGACCCGCTAACTGGGTTGGCTATTTTTGTCGAAATGTGGATTTAGTCTGTCGTCATGGGCGTCGCCAGGATTTTTTTCTAGAGGGGGGCAAAACATATGTTTCCCCAAAAATTCTTGTATTTCTCAACAAATTCTCGATTTATCAGTTTAAGAGGGGGGCAGGGACATTTTACCACCCCCCCCCCCCCAAAATAAAATTTACACCACTTTGTCTTCGCGCCTCTTTTTCTTTTCTTTTTTCCTTTTTTTATTTTTTTTTATTTGCTTTTCCGGGGGGGAAACCCCTTGCCCCCCCTCCCTCGCGACGCCCATATCTGTCGTACAACCTAACCAACAACCCCTCCAAACTTAGGCCTTGTTTTGCAATATTTGAAGACCTTTCACCTAAAAAATAACCAAAAAAGCTCAAAACACTTCACAAAAATACCTTTCAAAGCGCCTACTGGCTTCTCCACATGTCAAAAACAAAGCAATGGGGCTAAAGTGATCCTCACGATCATTGTTTTGGGTTACTAATTCTCGATATTCAACAAGTCGACAAAGACAAGTGTGTGCAGAATGATTTCCGCGTTCAAATAATAACGGTTAACGTACGCCGCTGCATGGTCGAATGCTATGGACGTACATATGAACATGTATGCGAAGACTTGGGACACGACTATGACCTATGCATGAACCTGTTGCAACACGTTGCCGTTGGGACAGTCGTTTAGCGAAGTGTACATGCACACAAAGAGAGATGAAACAGTTTGAAATAATCTATTACATGAAATTACCTGATGTGCAATAAGTGTGTTCAAGCACATAGAGTGCTCTCAAAAATCCAAAAAGGAACATAATGATTGTTACAATCACATGATTGAAGCGCTTTTTTTCACACATTTATAGCACATCAAGTGAGTTTAAATGTCTTCAATCTGTTACATGAAATTACTCGAGGTTCAATATGTGTGTTCAGCACATGACGTGCTAGCTGGTTCACATCTCTTCATGGACTTTAGATGATATCAGTCAATCTCTAGCACGCAATTAAGGTGCCATGAATGTATACAATCACGTGAAGTGCTATAATTGTATAGCACATCAAGTGATTCAGGTGGTAGTAATATGTTACTTGAAATCCATTGAGGTGCAATAAGTGTGTTCAAGCACATGAGGTGCTTTCTCTCAGACAGTTCCCATCTCTTCATGTACTTCAGAGGATATCAGTCAATCACTTGCACTTAGCTGAGTTGCCATAAGTGTGTAAAATCAACTGAAGCGCTATATTTTTGCAGGTGTTTCAAGCACGTCAAGTGTTCTAGGTGCCAATAATCTGTTACATGAAATCACTTAAGGTGCAATAAGTGAATTCAAGCACGTGAAGTGCTATCTCTCAAACAGTTCGCTTCACTTAAAGACCTTCGGGTGCCTTTATTTTGTTACTTGCAAGAGCTTGAGGTGCGATAAGTGTTTCAAAGCACATAAAATACTAGCCTTTAATTATTCTTCATCACCTCAAATACCTCACCTGTCAATATGCTGTTGCTTTCACACTTCAAGTGCCACAAGCAGTATTGCTCAGGTGCATGCAAGTGCATGAAGTATGGTCATTTTGTTTTACAGTGCAGCATATTGAGAAAAGAAAAGTTTTGAATGAGATTGTTCAAGTACATGGTTGAAAGCCATACTTGAAGTCGAAGACAAGGGTCGAATGTCAGTGAGGGGTTTTTGATGGTCACTTTTTTAATGCAGTTTACATGTATTATCCTTGAACTTTAGGAGGCTTTTACCAAATCAAGACTGGACAAGTAGCAGATACATCACAGCCCATCAAGTGTCAAAAATGCAACAATGGAACCTACGTCACCCCAGCTGCTCACCCTGGTATCAGCCCTGCAGATTGCACCGTGTGTCCTACAGGTACCAATAAAAGTCTCCATGCAGGGTTCCGCGCATGCTTTTGTCTCGATAAGTACTACCGGAAAGATCGGTTTGATGAGTGTTATCCTTGCCCAGACGAAGGTCTTGACTGTTCAGAGGAGTATCAACACCTCTTACCTGGATTCTGGTGGACTTGGGACTGGGGCTCAAACGACAACTACAAAGCATATCAACATTTCGTTGTAAACATCAGGAGCAGAAGTGATTCCTTCAATAGCAGCACGCAGCATTTTAGGGGAGTGGTGCCTAAGGTACATCCGTGTCCACGTAAGGAGTCTTGTTTGAATGAAGGTGATGGTATCAATGTCACTTGTGAGGTTGGTTATGAAGGTTGGCTTTGCTCTGAATGCAGTGTGGGGTACTATGCGTGGTTTGATCGTTGTAATGTGTGCCCAAAGTGGTGGTGGTTCTTACTTGAAGTCGTTCTGTTGTTGGTAGTGTTGGCAGTGGTAATACTCGTCATCGCTTGGGATGTGCGGAGAAATCGGAGAAGAGGACGGTCAGCCATTGATGTGATCTTTGCTCGGGGGAAAATCTTGCTGGGTTTCTATCAGGTAATGGGCGAGATATTCTCTGCCCTTGACGAAATTCCCTGGCCAAATATTCTTAACAAGTTTGGGTCTTTTTTGAAACTACTGGAGATGAATATTGTCCAACTGGTCATCAGTCCCCGCTGCTACTTTCCAGACTTCACCTACCGCAATGTGTACATTGAGTATTTGTTTGGGATGAGCTTAGTTGCATTTGTTATGTTGGTTGCATTGTGTTTCTATTGGGTCTCGAAGTGCTACATGTACTTGGCGGCAAAGAAATACACCGATGAAGAACGTATCAAGGTTTCATCAACTACGAAGCAGAAATGTTACCTGTTTGTCGTTATGCTTCTCTTTGTGTCATATCCTGGCCTGTCCAGTGTTATCTTCACCCTCTTGCCTTCTGGCTGCGACCTGTTCTATCTTGATGAGAATGAAACATACAATTCTACAAGACTTCGATCAGATTACTTTATTGATTGTCAAGATGAGCAGCATGTTCATTTCAACCATGCTGCCGAGGCTTCTCTCTGTTACGTTGTTGGCTTTCCGTCCTTGCTGTTTGTATTTCTGTGGAGAAGCAACAGACAAGACAAGAGGAAAAATTCGCTGGAGCAGCCTCTGGTTGAATCGTCAGTAAATGATCCCAGTTACTACAGTGTCAATAATCCAACTATGTCGACAGTAAATGAAGATGATTCCTCACTTAATCAATCATGCATCAACCTCCTAAATCCCATACAGCAAAGTCAGGCGGATATCAGCTGGAAAAATTTCCTCAGTGGAAACTACAAAGCAGAGTTCTGGTATTGGGAAATTGTTGAGCTCTCTCGTAAGATAATTCAAACACTGTTTGTGCTGCTGTACGGCCCAGATGATCACTTCACCATGTTTGCAACCATCGCCATATCTGTTGGGTTCCTGCTCCTACATGCATATGTGAGACCAATGAAAGATGCCACCGATAACCGACTACAGATGTGTTACCTGGCAACAATCTTCCTGAATCTCTTGGCAGCTTCCTTGCTCCTGTCTCAACTGGAGGTAGCACAGGGAGAACCGAAGTCCTTGCGGTTATCCTGGTTCTGATGAACTTCAGCATCATTGTTTTTGTCATAGGTACGCATTTAAATAAATCCAGAATCTTGATTGTGATAGACAGTTCATTTGTGCAATTTGCACGGTGCTTAAGACCAAATTTGACAGAAACTGTGATCACCTGACCAAGAGTCATGATGTAATTGGTCAATGAGCACTATTTGATTGAAGGTTAGGACGGGGCTATTAGAATCAGAAATGCTCAATTTGGGGTTTCCTTGTATACAGTGAGTCTTCTCTGGATTGTGATGAAGTCACTGTGGCGCCGTGGGTGCTGTAGCAGTATGGCAGCATGCATTGCTAAAGCCTGTTGCTGGTGCTATCGACACGAGTCATTGGATAGGCAAGGCAACGACATTCATCTCATGATGACCAGCGTGAGTTATCATTCGTTTGATGTTGACGAAGACTATGCAGAAATGCCTTTTGAAGATATCATATCAGAACATTATCACAAGGTTGAGTAAAAATAATTAAAACTTCAAAATTCAAAGGCCAATCAGATTTGTCAATAATATTGGATTTACATTTTTGTCAAGCACTTATTTAGAATGGAGGCAAAATAGGTTAGAAAAGATGTTGAATTTTGGGGGACATGTAAGAGCTTCAACCTAGTTTGTTGTAGTTTCGCTACAGATCAGCTTGAATATTTGCAATGGGAGTTCACAAAATGTTGAATTTTTTTTTTTTGTGGATTTTTGTAAATTATCAGAAATGTCCTTGAGATAGGTGAATTGTAAATAAATATGCACGGACAGATAATGGTCAAATTTTGATAAATTCAAGATCCTGTAAGTCTGGTTGCCTTCTGTTTGCATCAACCACTTGTAAATATGTATCTATAAATATTTCCAAATGTACACAATTATGGACCAGAGAAAAATGTAGGTTTGCTTAATAGCTATTCGATCCCCATTATCTTTTCATAGATATGATGAATTTCGTAACTAAAGCTCTGCTTTGTATGAAAGACTGCTCCGAGGTCATTATTTGGTCAATGGTATCTAGAAGATCGATGATCAGTTAACTCAGATTATGTGAGCAGAGGAGTACCTCAATGTGTTTCTTTGAAGGCAAATCATCATTCTTAAGTTAAAAACCTCTTAACCAAGCTGGGTTTTTTTTTTCAAAATCTTCCTTGGTTTTATGAAATGAATTGTAACAATGCTCACGTCTCCGAATGGTCTCCAATACCAACAGTTTTTTCATCTTTCTTGCTTCTTCTGGACGTCCAGTCTTCTTCAGTAATAATATGTAGGTGTACAGGCTATCACTGTAATCTAAGTCACATTATAAACATTTAATTGATGTAAAAATGACAGACAACTGCACAAGTAAACTTAAATAAGAACATCACAGATAGAATATATAGGTAGGCTCAAATGTATTTAAGGTAGTCAATCCAAGCAATTCATCAGTCAGAAAAGAAAACAAATCCTGCTTTACCTACGGTGTATCATAAAAAACCTGAAGCAGTTTCCTGTAGAGTATATATCAACCTGGACAATACAAGCATGTAAAGAGCCTCAGAGGTTTTCTTTTGACCATTCAGAATTATTGCTTTATTGTTGTAAGCTTTGGCCTTGACTTCTAGTAGACTGTCTCTGATTGGCTCGGAGCCTCCAGAAAGATTGTGCGTAAGGCCAAAAAAAAAAAAAAAAAAAGGTCTCCGCGCGTCGCCATAGCCATGCGCGTCGGCAAAATTAAACAGTTTTTTTTTAATGTAAGATGATGTCCCAAAACCGCCAAATTCACTGGTTTGACTGGAATCCTGCTGATGCACAATTTTAACTTGCATTAAATGGGGTTACGATCGAGTATATGCTTTATGTGGCCTTTCTGGGTTCACATGTATTTTGCACAGAATAGTAGGGCACCATTTGCAGACGGTGCTGTATTTTTGTGTTGTGTGTGTTGAAGCCAGAGGTGTGTGTGTAGAAGCGATGGTCGTGAATCAGCTCAGACACGATAACGATGTCGCTGTATGGTCTGACGTTGACGATACCGTTTTCTCTGATTTTTGTCTTAACTATCTACATTCTCGGGCACCATTTGCCTTATGGTCTTATTAAGGTCACCTGAAGGTCAACCCTGAAGGATACTTTGAGAATTTTAAGGGGATCGAAGCGTCATCATCTGCAACATCAGCCGACATTTGAAGAAGAAAAAAGTAGGAAAAATAAAAGCCGCGTCGCCGCACTGCTTTTTGGGCAAGCTCAATGCCAGAAACCGAAACCTTTTTTTGGCCTAAGGGAGGAAGTCAGGAACACATGATGAATCTTCCTGCTGGTATATGGTCCGTTGAAAAGAAAACTTCATGCACATCATGAAACAAATAATTGGTGCAAACGAAATTTGGCATATTTGGAACTTTCTCAACTTTTTTGAAATCATGTCTTACTATTAGGTACGTTTCACAAGTATACTTCGGTTTATCAAGTGATAACTACGAGCAGTTTGTATGAAGTCTTTGCAGCATCATTAACTCTTGGGGAAAACTATATGATTACGTTTAATCTACCATGATTACACCTGCATTCAGTCACAGAAACCTGATAACAACAATCCAAACTCAACCAAAATCCCCAAATCCTACTGCAGAATTAGTGACAAAGAGTGTACAAGTATTCAAGGGTCTGTTTTAGTTGCTTACTCCCTCTTTCCATTCAGTTCATAAAGAACAATTTGCAACAAAAAAATCATCTCTTTCTCAGCATTGACACTTATATTTATTATTTGTACGAACTGTTTCCTAAGCGGCCCTCAGATCAACACGGAACAGTCGGCGACTGATTTTTAAGGATAAAGCTACGTACGTCTGAGCAATGATCGTGCATAGGGAACATTTTCCGTCGTCATTTTTTTTCGACCAGAGTGTGGTGCTACAAAAAGCAACATTCGCAACAGTAGAAACAAATGTGAACTTCTGCGCCACATTGGAACTTGTAATTCCCGACAGTCAGGTATCAAACTTAGTAGACCTGTTTGAAGTAATTGCGTCGTGCGCGCAGTCGGAGCATCTAATTTGTATTGCGTAGTTGGTGACATGATGAGCATGGTTATGATTATTCTGTGTCGAGATGCCGCTTGTTCCAAGACAGTGACACGATTTCTCAGTTTTGTGACCCGAGCATGACCCTTGTCCTGTGCTTGCTACCCCAGTAGCAAAATTCCAACCAATCATCAGCCTTTTATTGCGTGCGTGGCTACTACCCGGACGCGTCGACGCGCCCAGATGCTTGCGCACAATTTAAAAACAAAAACTGCGAGTCTAGTTTTCCACGAGATCGTGACTGCGTAATTGTTCTTACATTATCTCATTTAAATTTTACTGTTAAAAGTAATTCAACAAATTATTTGAGTGTATGAACTTATTTTTCATCTGAACTTACAGTTATTTGTTCTTACGTTTTCCTTACTCATCCTTCTTTTAAAAATGGAAGCGACTAGGCAAAATCCGCGTTGTGATTGGTTAACCTTTAAAATTCTATCGCAGCACAAGCAAACAGCAGGTCGACCCGAAGCCAGTGTAACGGTCTCAGTTGTAAGGTATGCTTATCTCTTTGCTTTGGCTTTTTTGGTCTTTGCTCTTAGCTTTGCCACTCGTGCGTGCTAACTTAATTTTTGCTCCAGTCGGTTCGGGTCTTCGCAACTCCGCCGCTCTAAGCCAAGATGGCCTGGGCAAAACGCTTTGCTTGATGCCGAAAATTCTGTCGCAGCACAAGCAAACAGCAGGTCGACCCGAAGCTAGTGTAACGGTCTCAGTAATAAGGTATGCTTATCTCTCAAGATGAATTCAGTGGATAATCTAGCACACGTTACTGTCACAGGCTCTGTTAATCCGCCGGGCTAGATTTTCCGGTGAATGGCACGGACAGCGCGTTTTAGCCGTTCTGTAAGGGAGATGGGTCAGAAACACCAAGACAACTTCCAATAAAGAGGGGTTTTCTTGAGAAAGGAGAAGGGCTAAAACTCTGCTCGGTACCACCGCGTTATTCACACATGTTTACGTCACGCTACTTAATTTTTCAGTCGGCGTAAATATGTACACAATCCCATCAGTATGCTGTGTGGCAGTCTTGGCCCAGGACTCGATTTGCAGGTTATATTCATCTACTTAAAGTCTGTCCGGGTGCAACCAACCGACATCAACCTGAGAGGGCGCTATCGACGAGACAAACCAAATCCAGTCTTGGCGAATTCGGCACGGGCCTCCCCGAAGTATTCCCAGAAATATTCGCCCGCATTAGCATGAATAGTAGCAGGAAGCTTTATTCTGACCTGTATTGGTAACACCACCACATGTATAGGCTTAAGAATCATCATTTTCAACAACTCTTTTATGGAATTATCACGTTCGCCCATGTAAACCTGCAATGTTCGCCAATCAGCAACAGAATTTCAATCTCACGACTCCCACATTGACCAATCACAATCGTTCCTCTAATTAGACCTATGTCTTCTGAAATTCTTATATATCTAAACTAAAGTGAAAAGATTGTATTATTTAATATTTGTATTTTTCAGATTCTCAGTGTGCATACAATAGGTGAATCGTTGATGAGTTAATTTTTATAACCTTAGTGCTCTGGTGGCACGACTATAGGTAAATTGTTCAAAAAGAGAACAGCGCCAGAAGGTTTCTTTTGACACAGTTCATTGATGCATTACTAAAGGGTGCTAGACTGGTTGTTTCATGTGCCCGTCTTTTTTCTTGTGTAAGTGTGTTACTATCTTCAGTTTTAGGGCTCTCCTACACAATATATAGAGCCCCATCTTGTTATTTACTCTTGTCATCCATACCCAACTCGAATGTCGAAAACGGAACTGTTTTATCCGAGCTCTGTGAACGTGTTAATGTCAAAAAATGTATTAAACTAACCCCTTGTGTGTGCAGACGACTAGGTTGTTTTCCAGCAAACACTGAGCACCAACACCTCCAACAATCCAGAGACTATTGCTACAAAAAATCATGTCCCTTGGCGAATCACTAAAACCTAGATCTGTAACAATTCCATCGATTATACACCGCAAAAACCCACCAGCGCCTCAACGCAAGAAGATATACGATTCCAATAATCTGCTAAAATCCATCGCAAGGCATAACGCCTGGGTTCAAACCGAATAAATGAGACAGAGATGTTGAAACAATGAATGACTGAACTTATAAACCGAGTTTACGATTGAACGTGCTCTATGGCGAAGCTAAGATTGTCAACCACATTTAAATATCTGCGTGCGTACCAATAAGGTGTTATGTTCAGTGTGACCCATGCCTGTGCGCAGGAGAAATAGGCCAATCAAAGTACAGGGTAGCACAGCACAGACGCATATCGACCAATGAGATAACAGAAGCATGAACTGTTGCCTGTCATCATTTACACGTGTGTTTGAGGTCAGGTGTCCAGATATATCCCTAGGTTTGCAAAAGGAACCGAACCAGCTATAATTTGTGTGGGACACGGGACTCATAGGGGTCTGACAATTGTCCAATTCTGCCCATCCCTCCGTGTATGACGTCGACGACTATAAATTGTCACCGTCACCTCGAAGTGACCTTAACCCCCGCAACTTCGTGAAAACGCAAAACCCATTATTGACGCGTAGTGTGCAGGCAGGTTACACGACAAAGAATGGTAAGTACATTTCGTGAAAACGCGTTTTCCAGTTTGACCCATTAATGTTACAAACGTTAAATAATGTTAATTAATATTTTGACAAAACTAATTAAATCTGTGAATAATAATTTCTTAAGGTGATAGATTATGTGTAATTAATCACACACAAAATCGAAATTGCAAAATATTTGATTTTTCAACGTCAGTGTCACTTCGTGGTGACGGTGACAAAAAAGGGGCTAGGCGAAAGTGGTTCTATCATTTGCGCGCCTTCGCCTTTGAGAGTAAACTTGGATTCCGTTCTCGTCGAATCCGCACTGTACCTTTTTAGTATAACAATCTTTGATTTGATTTCTGGAAGAGTATGTTTGTGAGGCAAGCCACAGTCAAGTGTGTAGTGCTGCATCTAGGAGCGGAGTTTCTGTAAGTGAGTAGCCATTCTTTCTTTTCAGTGTGTGTGGAATCATTTAGTGATAATTAATTTTGCTGGTAGTACTGCTGTTTACAGGGTCAGAAATATTGTACAACTTTTGAGTGCAGTTTACAATTTAAGCTATTTTAGCTATTGGACAAGGATATTGGTGTCTTCAGCCGTATCTTCAGCCGTGACAAGTTGGCAAAGGGATTCAGATTTAAAGTGTGATCGTGTTTGGTACGGGAACTTGCAGATTAACTTGAAGTTTCAATTCAAACGCTGATACTGTTGTTGTCACATGGGGTTGAACTCCTGTCCGCAGTGTTATAGTCAAGTCCAGTCTGGGTTGAGGCCAAGCAAATCAAGTCCAATTCGAGTGTAGTCACTTTTCCTGAAGTCAAGCTTTGGCCAAGTTAAAATGATTGAGTCTAAGCTTTATCCAGTGAAAATACATTCGACCACTACACGTACCGTGAACAGAGTTTAAGGGACAACATATAGAGAACAGTGTGTGTGAGTATAATGTTCTGCTGCATAGTTTCTGTATTATCTGCCGTGAGCCCGTGAATATCGTGTGATGATGGTTCTATATTTAATTTAAGTTTATTTGAGATGCCTACTGAGCTTGTCTATAATTAAGTTGAAATGTGAAGTTGAATTATATCGTTTGACAATTGTTGAGTAACTGTGATGTGGGGATATTTTATCATTATTTTCTACTTGTAAGTTATAGTTCAATTTTAAAAAGTTGTATTTTTACTGTTTGCAAATTAATTTATGCGATGTGCATGTGGGTTGCTGATAGTGTGAGCCAATCGCTCATTACCAAAGAAAAACATGTTGAGTTTGCCCATTAAATATTTGTTTAATTACTTATGCGAGTTCTCCGAACGAAATGAAAAGCACCTGCAATGCATGTAGTTCCATATCGCCATAATATGTTTTACCTATATGGTATGGTACATGTATATAATCCGTACGCAGTGGGGCAGCAACAAGTATGGGAATGTTTGTGGCAGCTTTTTTCGTTCAGTATTGTTGAGAAAATTTGCATCAAGGTCTGTAAAAGCCAACGATGGTGTATCTGAGAATTAAATTAATGGGTGACATTCAATTCAAGAAGACATTTATTCCACACTCCTTTAGAGAATACATCCATAAATAAAAGAAAGACTGGTAAATAGCTTGTTTAAGAGTGAGGGGAAAATGGTGATTATAGCAGGAGGAGAAAATGGAAAGGAAAGTGTTATATGCAGTATCAGAGTCCTGAGCTAGATACACGTCACTCCACTCAATGCTGCCGAGGTCTTGCTTAAATGAACTGAGGGATTCCGTGTTAATATCCCTTGAAAGATATGTTTAAGGAGAGGATTCAGAGCTCTGGAGACAAGAAGTAGTGAATCGGAAGAGTGGATAGTGATCAGAGATGTCAGAGTACAGAATCCCAGCTGTAGTGTTTAGATCAGAATTGGTTAGTATGTTGTCTATTAGTGTGGAAGAATGGGGAGTGATGCGAGTGGGTTTTGTGATTAAAGGATGGAAACCACAGGCCAAGACAGCATTCACAAAGTCGTCCGCGGGTTGGTGATCTGCACAATGAAGTATATTAAGGCTGAAATCACCCATTATGTAACACAGCTTTCCCTCCTTTGTTATCTTATCTAGGCAGGTACCAAAAGCCTCGTTAAAGTGGTCAAATGAAGTACCAGGATCCCTGTAGACATTTCCCACAACACGATTGCTAGCTTTGTCATGCTGAATTTCGATAAAAACTGTCTCAAAGCCATTATGAGAAGGCATGAGGTCTTCACGGATCCGAAAATTCAGCGAGTTCTTGACAAACATGGCTACCCCTCTGCCAGGTTTATCGGAACGTGAGGAATGAACTAGACGGAAATTATCCATGTGAACATAGGGCGGAGGGATTGTTTGAAACCAAGCTTCAGTGAACCCGTAGATGGAGAAAGAGTGGTTAAGACTAGCCAAGTAATCTGTTATGTCGAAGAGACTCCTGGAATTCACGTAAAAGATAGAGAAGATACCTGGTGTAGAGATATTTAAATCATTAAATTCAGTAGACTCAAAATAGGCACATTGTTCATCATTAAAAACATCATCATCAGAAAAAGAAATATTGTCAACAAAGTTAGCTAGGGTCATTTGGACGAAAGATAAACAATACAATACGATATACAAAACAAAAACTTAACTTAAGTAAACAGTATGTAAAGTAAACAGTATGTAAAGGCAAAAGGAGAAACGGAAAAAAATGCAAGTCAATGGGGGACTAACAAATAGAGTAAATTCAGTAAACTCAAAATAGGCACATTGTTCATCATTAAAAACATCATCATCAGAAAAAGAAATATTGTCAACAAAGTCAGCTAGGGTCATTTGGACGAAAGATAAACAATACAATACGATATACAAAACAAAAACTTAACTTAAGTAAACAGTATGTAAAGTAAACAGTATGTAAGTGGAGAAGGAACCCAAGCATGAACAAACCAGTAACAATAATTTAACCAATCACAAGGAGATTAAGATGCAAAACAAATAAATTGAAGCAATCAATTTCAAGCGAATGAATGTAATAGATAAAAAGTTCGATGTAAAAATCATAATGGATGGTTAATGCGATGATTTGCAGCAAACATAACATATACAGCACATAGATATACAGTGGAAGCATGCAGATTGATGTGATGCTTAACGGTAGAAGTCAGCTAGTGCGCCGCCTGCACCTCTCCACTTACCGGCTACGAACCTGTACTTCATTCCCTCCTTGTCCGCTGCGGAGGCTTGTGTTGACCATTTTCTCTTCTCTTGCAGGTCGGCTCTGGTCAGGTCTTCGACTTGTCCGGACTTGTCGCTGTTGCTGGAGGATCTTGATTTTGTCCTGATAGCAGTTCAGCTTGATAAGAAGGTGCTGTGGTCTGCCGTCCATCTTTGGGCGATCACGGTGAGCTCGTTCCAGCTTTGCATCTGGCATCTTGAATTTCTCCTTGAAGAGATTGTGAGCGAGAGCCAGGCAGTCTTCAACTTTCTGCTGTGGGAAGCCGATAACCGGAAGATTATTTCTCCGAGAGAAGCGTTCCAGCTTGTTTAGCTGCTCGGCATGGTCGGCCATGGTTTTCTCAGCCTTGGCAACCACTGCAGTTATCCGGTCAAGTTCTTTTATCTTCAACTCCAAGCCGTCAATACGCTTACTCTGGAATTCAATGGAGTCATTGATATTCTGTTCCAGCCTATGTATGCAGTTACGTAACTCTTTTTGTCCTGATTGAATCTCTGTCAGGGTTTGACGGACAAGGTGTTTAAACTCGTCGGTGTCGGAAAGGGACTGCTCTGTGCTTGGGTTTGCAGACTGTGGCGATAACGTTGGTGGTGATCCAGGATCGCTCACTGATTTTGTCGTTTTCTTTCTCACCAAACGGTCTCCAAGGCTTGAGTATGTCCTTATTGACAATTGGTATGATATCTACGTATGCTGAGGCTAGGATAACGAAAATACTAAGGATTTTTTTACACGGAGACCCCAAAAAGCTCGTGTCTCACTTTGTCGCCATGTTCTACTGGCGACATTGAGACAAGGATGATCGAACGTGAATAGATATATTATTAGCACTCTGACTTGCCGTAGGTAAAATGTTTGGAAAAACCATTGCACTATCAACAATATGGGCCGGGTACCCATAAAACGGGAGGAATAGGAACAAAGAGGTGAATAGGGACACACATCTGAAATATATGTACCACATGCATCCAGCTGCCCAGCCATGACCCACGTGATGGGAAACAACTAACATGTACCCCTGCGTGAAAGAAAATCCGATGTCTTGGAAAACGTCTCAAATCCTAATGTTGTCAAAACATTGCATCTTGGGATTTTCTTGAGAGAACCATCTGATTTCACATCAAGACCTCACAAATATGGTCTTGTATGTAAGGTTTGAGCTGGGAAGCATTTGAAGTTGTGCTGATATTTTGTCCTTTCTTTTAAGCTTTATTTTCACGTTTTTGCAAAACAACCGTGGTAAAAAAGAGACAGGATGCCACGTGACTTTAAACCAAAGCCTGTGGCCAAAAGATATATGAAGAGCACAGTAAAGATGAGAGTTGAGCCACAGGAAAGCATAAGAACTGTATGGCATCCCCAAAACAGTCATTTTCAGGCACCTCAAGCACCCTGACACTCTTTCCATAGGTGTACAGACGATTTCTGACAAGACCTTTGGGGATCATCTCCTTAGGGAATCCAGACTAGTGCCGAATGGGACTATATATCCATTAGGCACTCGAGAGTTGAGGCATCTCGTCAAAGGTTACTTGGACAAATAAACTTTGAAACCTGTTCAAATGTAGGGCCGCAGTGAATAGGGTCAAGCAGAACCGATTCCAAAACCATTCAATGCCCGGTATTGAATGGGTGAATTCTGTCCTGAAGCAAAATAAAGACAGTGTGGCACACGCATTTGCGAGAACATAAAACGGTCACGAGATGCTTGGTCTAGATAAGCTATCAATGAATACTTCGACAACCTGGTCAAGACTTTAAACGATATAGGCCATAAGCTGAAACTCAAAAACCGGCTGTAAAATGAGTTTCGTTCCAGCAACACTAGGTCTACTTTTTTTAATGCACATATGTGGGGTTTAGTACATCACAAACACTATGTCAAAAGTTCTCCAGCAAATATGCTGCAGTTTTTTTTTTTACACTTCATCAAAGTTTGCCAATGTTATGTACATGTATGTATGCTAAAAACCAACATTTTCCGGTTTGAGGCCTTGCGTTGGCACTTCCAATTTCAAAACTACGCACGTACAGCACTATAGCTTGTCATATCCTACACTCTAGAAACTCCTGGGTCAGACTCAGTCTGCTCAGTCCTTTTCCGGGTCAAAAATTGACCCCTTTTGGAGTCATAAATGACCCCTTTGGAGTAAAAAAAAGACATGTTTCTCGGTAATTTTGACTGAAATGTGTATTTTTTTTTACCCAGAAAAGGACTGAGCAAATTTGGATTCAGATTCTGGGTCAATCTGACCCAGGAGATTATAGAGTTAAAAAATATCTTTTATGTACATTGACAATTGGGTCACACCGAACAATTTTTTTGAAGGTTTATAATGCAGTGGTGGAATGAGGGGGTGCCCAAAATGGAGGTGTCTTAAGAGTAAATAAATACCTGTACATGTAACCAGCAGAAGAAACAGGAAAGCAGACAAGATATGTCCCTTTAAACAAAGCAAACTAACGCATATAAAAAAATACAAAAAATGGGTGCTATACCCCCAAACCCTCTGGATCTGCTGTGGTGAACCAGGTACGTCACTTAAAGAACCTTCTACTTGTAAGAAAGACCACCTTTTTTGGAATGAAACAGGCTTTAAATACAATTATAAATCAAAGGACCATCAGATAGAAGTCAGAGTCTGGTTTAATAATTTCAAAAATCAACCATTGTACATTTATTTGCTACCTAATCAAAACAGCCATCTTGGTTTGGAGAAAAGCCTTAAGATCAGTCTTTTGTCAAAGAAAATTTCAGCTTTTAATTTATTGATACATTGATTAGCATCGAAAAATGTTTGCATGTATATCAATAAAAAGAAAACAAAACCATAACTCATGCTATTTTGTATGCTTACACATTAAAGAGAGTGATTTGGCTTGTCATATGTGGCTAGTCTCACTGTTAACATTCACAGAATTTGCCTTTCTACTGGAACTAATTTTTAATAATTGAAAAGAATTAAAATGAATAAAACCAACACTAATGAACAGAAAGATACAATTATGTAGTTTTGAAATCTAGAGTTACTCATTATTTTCATTATAATGTCAAATGCTAACTAGTCGTGCTGATACAACTTCAAGTAAATGTTATCACTACATCAAAGTTCTCATCAAATCTTGTGCAGTAACGGCATAACAACAGGATGGAGCATATGTCTTGCTTTCTAAGCCAAAGTTTCAGTTTTGAATCCTCCTCTGAAGTCCCCAGAGATTCAACCACACATCCAGCAGATAAAGTAGCGGTGTAGATGATGTTGCATATATTCAAGGAAAGAGACCTGTGGATATTCTCTTCTAAGCCGATATGTCAACTTATCAGTTCTGTAAAAAAAGAAAATAGTAAAATATAGACAGGTTTAGTATCTGATGATCAAAAACAATGATTACTGTGGATGTGCTTTAGAAGAAAGAAAACAAGTTGTTCAATCTAGAGTTAAATTACTAGAAAGATCACGTGCCCGATCGTTTTGCCTTCCACTGTAAATATGTAAACATTGGTAGCTATTGAGAACCAACCTTTTCAGCTTCCAAAGCAATATCCAGAGGTTTTCATTTTGAATATTCTATTAAAGTTTATTTCTGTTTGCACTCTGAATAACAATCAAAACATCTTACCGATATAAAGATCCAAGGCCATTTCCTTCGGCTTCTAAATCATTTCATGATTCCAACAGTTCAGCAAGCTGGGACATTCTCATGAAACTAAGTTGTTGATCGGGGTTGAACAGTCAGTCGCAGAACATCTCCCTTTTCCTGACGTTCATCCTTTAGGCCTATATATATAGAATAAAATAGTAAATTCTATAAAAAGCTATTTTGCTATTTTATACAAAGGGAAAGACTACCCTCACACCTCCATAAAAGTATCCTTCAACTATGGAGAAAGAGAGTGCACAACATTTTATTATGGAATTTTGTGCAGTACCCGTTGTACTTTGGCATCTTAACGTTAGACATTTATTTTCAGTGCCAGAGGTACTCGGTTTGAATCATGGAACTAAAAAAAAAAACACCCTTTTTTACTAGGTTTTTCAAATAAGACCTTTGTCATTGAAGACATTTTTCTTCTTTGACTTAAGAGAATTTTTCTAAAAGGAAAGTAAAGTCCAAGAACCATTCAGTAAACAAGTGACGTACCCAACAGTCCAATGCTGTAGAGAAAGAAAAGGTGTTTTTTTATAACCAGGAATCTGTTATCATTTTGAATGGTATCTTTTGCAAGAAAATAATTTTTTCTGTGCATTTTCAGTTGACGCCATCCAAATCGATGCGGTTCTGTGCATTCACGGTGCATCGTGGTGACCACCAGCTTTGTTTTCGCATTTCGTTTTTATCGATGTGTCACCCCAGTTTCCCTCAAAGAAATTAAAACCTAACCTTACCCTTAATTCAAGACAAGTAAACCCAAACATGGTTTTTTTGTTCTTTTTCGGGGCACATAAATACACAATCGCCTTCATTATAATGACATGTAGGCCTACCTCCAACGGAAGTTCTGCTTGTTGTACTGTTGCAGCTAGCAGCTTTCCTTGAATTGAGGTTTTCATCGAAATCGAAATCCTGGTTGAGTTTGTGTGCAGCATGACACAGTTATGTAGATAGGCAATTAAAAGAAACTTGAACTTTGCCCGGAGCTTTTTCGGTGAAGAAATCTGGGTCTCAGCTGAAGTGTCTGGTTTGCGTTTTCTTGCAGCACCGAGACGTTTACTATCTATAAAAATCGCCATGGGTGAGATCGGCCGGCCGGACTGCCTTGTTTACATGCGCCGGTAGTGTATGATGTAGTAGTACTGTCATGACTGTGCAGTACGATACACTGTATATACAGACATAGCAGATCCACTGCCCACACATCGTGGGTATATTCGGCGATGCCATTGTGAAAATCAGCCACTCTTTGGCACAGGAAATGAACTTACTACCACCGGCATCAGATCCTTCGCATTTACCCCCTCAAACGTGACAGATTATGAGTGCAAACACTTCTTTTTTGCACCGGTCGATGTTTACGTTGACGCACTTTTGCCAATGGACGCTGCCATGTTTGTTAAATGTCATGACCTGCGACCTCATATCTGATGTATAATTGGACAGTTCACGTCACGTGGTACGATGCGTCATACGCGGCGGATTTTTTTAACGTAGGCGCGGTACGTTTTTGAACGTCCATAATGGACAAATAGTCCGGTTTTTCGAGTCAAATTATCAAAAAACTGCTGGACGAAATGTGGAGAACTTTTGTAGTATCATTCTTTGGTAGTGTATTTCGGTACAACTGTTAAAAAAATTTAGACCCGCGATTGCTGGAGCGAAAAGAACGAATTTTCCAGTCCAGCTGACGGCCTGTATACCCCCAGTAAAATGGTGAATTATTATGAGACCAATCTGTCAGATGACCCTGTTAATATAGATGGAGCTTTGTCATTACAATTTCTGATAAAAATTGTTAAAATACTTCTACAAGCATTGTGTTGTTTGAAAAAAAAAGCCCATGTAGTCCCTATTCCCCTCAGCTGAGGGTACACTGGGAGCAGTTAAGTGTTTCGTTCTGTTCCTAATCACCCCAACATCGAAGTGAATCCCCAACATCGGGGTGAATAAGAACGGTCGAATAAAATAAAAAATCCAACGTTGATGGGATTTTTTTTTTTTTTTTTTTTTTTGCTGTCAATCCCAAGTTAACATGGGTGGACATTAAATAGCACCAAAATCTCTATCACTGGCCATGTAGTAAAAATTGCGATACACTTGTATAATATACTCCCTCTTGCTGTGCCTCAGTAAGGAGCGAAACTCTACCTAGTCTTC